ACAAAGGGAGCAGTTTACGATTTGAAAAGATAAACTGCTGGAAAGAGACATGTATTGTGTATCACTAAGTGTTAAGGCTTCATATATCTTTTAGATGGTGAACTCTTTGTCACAGGGTATCATTAGGCAAGCTGCAGGGGTGAGAACATTGAGAGTTTAAATAGCAAGTGTTGCAAGGACACACTTCCCTGGGAGACAGATCATCCCAGATCTTCCTGCTGTGTGACTTACATATCTTTAATATCTCTGGAGCTGTGAAAGGACGAGATGGCCTTGGCACCAAGCAATACAATTATTCTGACATTCTAGCCTCCCTATTGCACCTTTATTTTTATTATTTCTTTTTTATTATCAAAAGTGTATTGAAACCTACAGATGATTTTTTCCTTCCTAATGCAGTATTGTTTATAAGTGCCAATCAAGGCAACTTTGTCCCTTAGCCACAATGGAAGCTGAAATATTTTGAACAGCCTTTTTTTCTGCATTTAAAAGCAAACCTGACGCAAACCAATTAAAACACCCCCAGCAAGCCCAACAAACTTTAATTGTACACAAATCTAGGAGGAACAATTTAAATTTCCTCTTTGAAAATTAATTATGTTAGACTTGAGTATATCTTGAATTAGTTACTATCAATTAGAGAAGAGAACATTATATTCTAAACAGTAAAGACGTTAATTTGAGCAGAATACAGAAGAAACAGAAGTAAACAAATAATTCAAACTAATTAAAGTTTGCTCATGGAATGTGTAGTTTTATGGCTACCAAGTGAGGTTCAAATAACAAATGCTTAATGGATTGCTTTTCCTTTTATTGCATTGGCCAAACACTGCTAGTGGTATCTAGATAAATCCTAGAGTGGATCTGAACCTGAGCATGTTCACTACAGAATGAACGAAAGTCTGAAAGCCTTTCTTAGGAAACACTAACTTTTCCTACCAAAAAAAAAAAGTTTTAGACAATTGACAAACAAGAAACTGAGGGGAAAAACAAACAAAAACACCTCATTGCAAACCTCTCAGCAAAGTGGGGAGTGGAAGAATGCAGAGCCTTTAATTTCTGAGGCTTAATACCAGACTAACTGAAGGAAGTTACTCACTGTTGTCCTCCCATTCGCTTAACCACTGATGTAACATTGCTTTTCACTGGCAAGGCAGCTATGTATTTCTGGTTTAGATGGATCATCATGATGAGGGTGATCTTTATCGCCTTCTTCAGCACTGGTCAGAGCAGTCTGCACTGCCAATCTCCATTTCCTTTCTATTATAGCAGTTAGTCAGATAGTGAAAAGGATGGGAGGAGGGGGGGAAATAATGTTACTTTATATATCGATATCTCCATCACTTAAAGAAATGTAAAAAAATCACGTTGCATACCTGAAACTTAGCCACCTTACCTTACCAGTTATCCACTATAATGTCAAAGATGAGTTTTCAAGGAATAAGTAGGCTGAAAGCAAAGGTACTTTGTGAGACCTTGCTGTCTTCTAGAAAGAGACTCTCTGTGCAGGATGCCAGTATGGCTGCAGAAAAAACGTGTACAGAAGTTCACAATGTGGTTGTTACTGCAAGAGTTGAAATGGTGTCATAAAGAGTTGGTAAATGGAGAGAGACAGAGCCAAGTTTCAGTGTTCATGGGGGCTGAAGACATTAAAGGTGTCATAAAGAGAAGGAAAACAATGTTTTATAGCAAAAATGGTACACTAGATTATATGGGTAAATGTGTCAGAAAGGGAAACCAGTTTAGAGCAGGGTACCCACTAAAAAGGCAGCACTGGAAGGGCTAGAAAAAGAGCTTCTGTTGCATGAAAGATTAGTTTTCAGAGATGGGCTTAGAGGAAGAGATGGTGGGATTATTTGGTCATAGATTGGATGCAAGCAGCAGGCTAGAGAAATTGCCTCCAGACTATGGACTAAGAAAAGGGAACACCTGAGCAGCTACAATATGTGTGACCCTGGAAGAGGTGAATTAGCAGTCAGGGAGCTTTGGCTCATTATTCAGCTTCATATGGACAAACTTAAAGGTGATGCTGACACAGGGACACTCTGTTTTCCCAGGCTGCATAAATATGCATTGAACCTTCTCAGTACACCTTGAAATAAGCAGTGTCATTTAAAAGGTATGTGGTTCCAATGAGCTAATGCCGAAGTTAAATCTGCAGTGACAAGTAATCTGGTGAGATGTGCATTGCAGAACGTTAGTCAGAGCTACTCACAGGGCTAGAATGGCAACATGGCTTTATTTTGACATTGAATGAGTGTCAGCAGATCCACTGTCACTTGACCTACCTTGCAGCAAAATAAAGGTAACAAAAAACCCTAGGCAGTGGGGAGGGAACTTACAATTACAGATTCCCACATACAAGTAAAAAGCTATTATGATTTTTTTCTCTGAGCTATCAAAACTAAAAGACAAATCTCCATGTAGGTGAATGTCATAGGGAGTATATTGAAATACACAAAATGAAAACCATAAACAAGTGAGGAATTACCCTTCCTAGACAGGAGATGATTCCACTGAAAAAAAAAAAATAGTAATGAAGCAGTTTTATGAGAATAGCCATGGGAAGAAGAATACATCTTCGTCAGACTAATTTCTCACCCAAACTTCAAAAGGATGCATAGACCACCACTAACCTGCCAGGTGTGACTGATTACTGCTTCTTACAAAGCTCAAAATTTTTCATTGTATGTTGCTGAGGCATCATATGATTTGAAATAAAATAAAATGAAATAAAATGACATGAAATAAAATAATAAAATGAAATAAAATAAAATAATAAAATGAAATAAAATAAAATAATAAAATAAAATTAAATAAAAATAAAAATAAAATAAAATAAAGCTTCAAATCGCCTGAAAGCAGCTTAAAGAACACCACTGTGAGACCTCTGTGTTGACTAGCCTGTGCCAGCAAAGCCTCAGAGCGCAGTCTGACCTGGGGGCTGCGTGCAAAGGGAACTCAGCACTGCCATCTAATGGCAAAGTACGGGAAGAGATTTTCAGACTGGTCTTCACCCCGTCGCAACGCTTTGGTTATAATTACAGTTTAATATAAATAAATCAAGAGTAATTAATACTGCATAATAATCTATATAATAATACTTAAAATTTGCCTTTTTTTTTGGAATTAACAAATGCCCTTAATGACCCAGGTTGGAAGCTGCCAGGACCTCACACAAGTGGAGTACAAACCTTAAAGACAAGGGCTTTTGTGGCCCTTCTTACTCTGATGTATGGATTACTTTCTGGTTTCGTAAAATACCACTAGGTCATCATATTCGATGAATATAAAAGACAGAGGGACTTCAGGCATGTTCTTTACCTTGTCTTTTGAGATGGGAGGCAATAAAGATGTATATTATAAGACTAACCTAGAAAGACTCTAATACTTACATCTTTATTTACTGTAAGTTATCTTCATTCTTTGCAAAGTTAACAGCAAGATTTTAATCCCACATGAGGCAAATCAAATTCTAAAGGCTCTGAAAAGAATGGGGTGTATGCAGAGCTAGGCTTGAGGAGGGTTTATTGGGATTTGGGTGCGGGGTTCCTCCTCTCCCAGAGGAGACAATATTTCTGCACAGGGAATCCCCTCTGTTCAGACATTCATTTCTATGCTGACTCACTGCATGCCACTAGAAATGCAAGAAAGTTTCTCTTACCAGCCTCAGTCAGGATATGTCTATTTCAAGAGTTATGGGGGGAAAAGTGCTATAAAGCTAACAGCTATATTCCCACCGACATTGATCAGATATCACAGAACTGGGCACTGGAGCATTCAAACTACATAAAGATGTGGGGATCTTCCTTTCCAGAGAGGTTTCTAAGGCAGGGAAATAGCTCTGCCAAGGAACTGCTCCATTACAAAATATCCCTGACATAAGAACCTCTCAATCAAACGTTTTATGACCAAGTTTATAGAAGCGTAAAATTAAGCAGCCACTTATACTGCCCATGCTAATTGCAGAGCTGCTGTACAGCAGTATCTCTACAGTTATATGACTCACCATATTTGCTGATAATTTTCCAAGGGAGGATGGGTCTCTAAGGTGAGGTGATAGGTAACAGGCATTTTGAAGCAGAACTTTAAAGCTGAGGAGGTCTTCCATCTGCTAAAATTACACCAAACCTGTACAACCATTTATACCAGGGCAAGATGCTGCCAATCTGATGGGATTGCATTTTGTTGCTGGTTTATAGGGACACAGAGAATTCACCAAATGCTGAGCAACCAGGGCATCCCAAAGCACCAAGAGGTGGTTGGTGCACGGCATGGAGAAAGCTGGGATGAGGCAGGAAGGGGAGGAATGGACCTGTCCTGGTTTCTGAGCTCCAAAGAGGAGGGATTATGGATTACCACCATGTAATGGGGGTGTGGAGTGAAAGCAGGGGACATAATATGAAGGAAAGTAACAAAGGACAGGGAAAACACAGGCCGCAATGGGATTTGTATTAGACTGTCACAGTGGCCAAGCCTTTCCTATTAGTCTGTGGTCAGGAAACTAGGAGTCATCTCCCTAATGAGAGATTTTCACTGCTTTCTGGTTTGGGCGTGTGGACAGAGCCTGAGGGGCCGAAGGTATTACAAAGGGAAGACCAGAGGTGTGTAAAATCCAAACGGTGTGAAAAGTATTAATGTCATTACTCAGGGTTCTTTCACTGTGCTATTAGGAGAGCAGCACCGGTGGGGAGGGACAGAGGAAGAGTCCTGCCTAGCGGGGCTCACCGGCAATCTCTCTTGGGCTGGGGGGGAAGCTGCTACCGAGACACCCAGGCAGGCAAACCCGCGTTCTGCCTCCCCCCACCTCCAAACCACCGTGCGTTGCAAAATAACAATGGAGAAACAGCTCGGGCGGACCTCCGTGGGGCAGGGGACCGGCGGACGGGAGGTGGGAGGCAGAGGCTGGCACCTCCCGGGGAGTTTCTGTTCCGGGGTACAGGACCCCCTTGCCTGCAGCCGCTCCTCCGGGCTCCAGCTCCGGCAGAGGGCGCCGGGCCCCGGCTGAGGCGGCCCCGCCTCCGGCCTAGCGAGCGTCGGCGTGGGGACGGCAGCGGCAGGCCCGGGCCCGAGGCGCCTGGAGGACCCAGGTAACCGCGCCTAGGCCGTGGCCCGCTGCGCCCCGGGCCTCCCCTCTCTCCTCGCGCCCCTCCACCCACTCCCGGCCCCAAGGTGGCGGGTCTGGGGCACGGGGTCCGGTGTGAAGGGCAGGCTTACGCGCCGCGGCCTGCGGCGAAGCGGCGGCCAGGACAGCCGGGCTCCTTGGGGACCCCGAGCAGCGGCGGGCCCGCTATAGAGGGTCAGACACCGTCCACGCAGGAGGGGTTGGGGGGTGTCTGTGGGCCCGCACCGCACGCCGTGAATGCTGTCGTTGTCTCGGCTGCGTGTTTTTGAGCAGGCTTCCAGCCCCGGGCAGCGTTCGGACTTGTGTCCTCCCCCGGCAACAAGGCTGGTCGCTGCCCGCGTTCAGGTTTCACGAGGGTGAGAGGACGCCCTCCGCGTGTGGGGCGGCTGGCGGCCTTACTGGCAGGGACTGTCTCGGCGGCCGGTTGTACCAGTCGGTCAGCGGGGAGCGAAGTAGGAATGAGCAGTATAAATAAGCAATAATACTTAGTTACACGTTCAAATAACTGTTCTACGAGTTTGTCCCCAAAAGGAGGAGAGGCGCAAGTGTTAAGTGAGGATTGACCCACAGTAAACTTTATGTCATGTGTTGTAAGTTCATGCATTTAAATACAGGAAAGCCAAGGGAGGTGTGGTTCTTTTTATTTGGCTATTAATTGCCCTCATTGATCAGGGCTTTTTCTCAGCCACGAAAACCACCTCGTAAAGATCTCAGCAGAGTTCTCTTGGGTGTGGGGAAAACAAGCTCCAGTCTCAGGAAGAAACACGTGTTCCCACACATGCAAGTTGTAATAAAAGGCAGCGCTCCACCGAGCTAGGAAGGACTGGAAATTAATTCCTAACAGTGTTGAAACACATCTGGGGTGTGTTTTTTTGTTGTTTCTCCTGCTTGTCCCTGTTAGAGATGGCTCTCCATGCTGGGGAGCATGCGAGACTGCTGTTGCTGGTGTCAGCCCTATTGAAGTACACAGAGCAGCGTTGTTTCTCTAGAACTCTACCACGATGCTAAATTTGGAGAAACAGGGTAGGATGCTTTACAGTGTTCTGCCATGCAGGACTACTGTGGGCCAAGCAGAATCTAAAGTTAAGCAGCGTTTGACTTTTCTGGGTTTGTGTGTAGTATTGAGCAGGTTGTTTTTATTGACGATGAGTCATGATGAATGTTTTTAATATGCTTTTTATGACGTATGCTTTTGTTAATTGTATTTCAGGTGTGGGGAGAAAAATGCCACAAATGAGTTTGGACAGTTGATATTAAACACCAGAAAAGGAATCATGAACAGATTATTCCAGATTATTGGTGTTTGCTTTTCATCTGATGTTTTATCTCTTTGTAATGGTGGGTGGTGTGTGAGAGAGGCAGACCATAAAGTTGGTATAGCCTTGCGCTTTTAGGTGATGCATTGATTGCTCTGCCGGGAACTAGATTATAATCTTTTGGTTTTAAGTATCATGTTGTACCTGGAGAAATCCATCCAACAGACAAAGCAGTTGCTCATTTTTGCTCACGAATGTTTGTTTTATTTTAGGGTATGCTATGACTGGCTTCAGACTCCCCATCACTACTTTTAGAAAGCTAAATGTCTGGTTTGGACTGTGGGAGAAATTCTCTTCTAATAAACTGTATCCCTCTTGGAGGAGAAGCATGTTCTGTAGCTGTCAAGCAAGCACAGTAAACTACAGAAGATGTCCCAGCTTTTCCTCATTAAAACTCTCTGCACTAAGACTTTCTCCAGAGTATACCTCTGTACTTCCTCTGCGGAATAAAAGTAGCAAAAGCTCTAAAAGGAGCAGGCAGACTGTGCAAGAAGAAGAGGAAGAAGAGGAAGAAGAGGATGAAGAGGAAAGCGATTTGGAGGATGAATTTGAAAATGACCCCAATGTAGTAAAAGATTACAAGGATCTTGAAAGAGTGGTGCAGTCTCTTCGATATGATGTGGTCATGAAAGCTGGCCTAGACATTGCAAGAAAGTAAGTATGCAGAAATAACCTGCTCATGATAAAGGTGTCATGCATCTGAAATTTGAGGCTTGATATTCTTTTACTGTTGGAATAACTAAATATTGGGAGATGAGGGGAACATTGTTTGCTGGTTGGGTTGTTGGTTTTTTTGCATAGCTATTTTGACTGTCTAAAAATGTTTTGGATGGATGGGTGTTCTTGTGGGTTTTACCTTGCCTCCCTTGAAACAGCCTGCTTTCTGCTTTTTGGTGGCTGCAGGATTTCTAAGATTGCTGAGGAGGCATTTTCTATCAGTTGCTATTTATTTAAAAAGAAGAAACCACAAAATACGGTACTAAGTAATACAAAAAGATCTAATGTGAGATTGAGGGATTAAAATAATACACTACTTAATGGCTGTCGAAATAGGTGATGGTGAGTATAAGCCTAACATACTAGTAAATATATCAGAGTGCAGTCTGTAAATATATCCCAGTGTTTGATTTAGTGCAACCTACAGAAGCCTTATATTGCAGTGCTTTTAAAACAGAATGTTAGTATAACTTGATGAGTTACAAATTATTAACCTGGCTGGTGCAGGAAAGGAGATATTATTCATTGGATATTCAGGAGACAGGTCTGTAAAAACAGCTTTTCATTTCTTGCACAGAGCAACTATACTCGTATTATTTCATTTAATATCTATGAAAGACTTTTTTACTTCTAGTTCAGGTCTGTCCCGACCTTAAATAAAGGTATCCTTTATGCGCAAATGAGAGCTGTGGCAATGTGCCTTGCACGTGAATGGTGTTCTTGTGTATCTGCAAAGAAACAATTGCACACTGTAAATGCAATAAAACCTTGTTTTTCTTCAGTAAAGTAGAAGATGCATTCTACAGTAATGAACTCAGGCTGAATGGAGAAAAACTATGGAAGAAAAGTAGAACTGTAAGACTTTTTACAATTTAATCTTTTTATACAGTACAAGAAAATAACTAAGGCATGACCTCTTCTCCCTCTAAATTGCTCTGCAAAGGCGAATGAATAGCATTGCTAACACCACTTCCAGCCTTGTGTGTGTGTGACTATGATTCTCTGGGTAAGGTGTTACTCCCTAAGGCAGGCAGGAGACTTGTGTTACTAGAGAGTAAAATCTAAGGCTGAAAGTCAGGAGAAGACAGATGGCAGCAAGGACAGAACTTTCTAAGTTGCTGAAGGAAGTGATGATACTGATGTGAGGCTCATGGAGTCAGAAGATTGAATCTGAGATACTGGTGGAGCAGGCATACAATTAAAGAGAAAGTTTGATGGTAGGGATTGAAACGGGGGGAGCTCAGGTGAGGTTGTTGTATTTGTAGCAGATCACACAGGAACACATTTGAGAGAAGAGCTGGAAGGGTTGCAAGCCATACTCTTTAATGACAGAGCTTGCCAGAATGATGACAGACTTTGACCCACCCTGTATGTGAGGGTGGTCCCATATGGTGGTTACTGTCATCAAAGGGTCGTAAGTTTTAGTTCCTGGTTCTCTAAAGACTAGTTTTTGAGAGGCATACTGCTTGTATGATGTTTGAAAAGAACATAGGCAGTTGGCAAGCACTCTGAAACACTTCATGCTCTTTTAAAGGCAGGAGGGAGAACATTGCATTTTGCTGGTTTGTGTTGATACAAAAAGATTGGCAGGAAGTACCCTTCAGGAAAACCCCCCAACTACTACATGGCACCTTTTTCACAGTTAGGTGTCAGCCAATAGAACAGGAAGGGTAAAGCTTTTGGCAGAGAAGGGCATGAGACATTAAATTGCTTATTGCCATGGATTTCCTAGAATTTCGTAGCTGGAGGATTTGTAGCATGTCTGATGTTGCCTTGCCTGCCTCCTGCTCTGGGAGATAAGAATATTACATAGAAAGGAACAGAGTTACAGTTGGACATAGGCTGTAGGGATTTGTTTTCCCAGGAAATGTTGATAATCAGTCATCTTTTTCTGTTTCCAGGTGAAAACTGGGGATACGCTGGATCTCATAGTAGGTGAAGATAAAGAAACAGAAACTGCCATAGTTATGCGGGTAGTCTTAAAAAAAGTATCTAACAAAACTGAAAGTGAAAAATACAAAGTAATTGTGAGGCGCTGGAAACACTTAAAAGTACCCAAACAGGATGTATTTAAGTGACGGGGGGGTTGCATGTGGCAGCATAAGAGTTTTGCAGAAAACCATATTTGTTCTTAAATACAAATTTTGGTTAAACAAAATTACAGTACCCTTTGTTAAGGGCTTGTGTCAGAATGTTCTCTCCCTCTGCTGTGTATGTCAATATCCATGCAATAAGCCTGTCGCTTTTTGCTGTTAGTTTTGTTTAATGGCGCTGTGGGATAAAAGATCCAACCCTTACAATTCCAGGCAGTTTCCTTACAGATGTTATAAATGATGAACCAATAAAGACTAATTTGATCACTGTTTAATTGCTGTCTAATTTTGTTTAATCAGAAAGGTTACATTAAAGCTGACAGCCCAACAAGCAGAACTGCTTTGTTAATTTTATCTCTACATCTGTAAAATAGTTAGGGATAAAACCCCCAGTTATGTGAAATTGCTTCCTTTTTCATTACTGGTTTGATCTTGGTTAACCATACTAACTCTGTGCTTATACACAGTGCTGCTATACCAAGAATACAGAAGGACTCTGGTTGCAGCTGCATATTTCTAAGAAGGAGACTTCATGATAACAGAGAATCATAGACTCATTTAGGTTAGAAAAGACTTTTAAGATCATTGAGTCCAACCATTTACTTAACACTGCCAAGTCCAGCACTGTGTCCCTAGGCACCACATCTACACCTCTTCTAAATCCCTCCAGGGATGGTGACTCCACCACTGCCCTGAGCAGCCTGTTCCAGTGCTTGACAACCCTCTTGGTGAAGAAATTTTTCTCAATATCCAATCTATACCTCCCCTGGTGCAACTTGAGGCTGTTGCCTCTTGCCCTACCACTTCTTACTCGGGAAAAGAGACTGACACCCCCCTCACTACAACCTCCTTTCAGGTAGTGGTAGGGAGCGGTAAGGTGTCCATCTTTTTATCCTGTGAAGAATGCATCCATCCAAGCCATGAGCAGCCAGTTTCTCCAGGAGAATGCTATGGTAAATCGTGTCAAAGGCTTTACTCAAGTCTAGGTAGGCAACATCCACAGCCTTCTCTCATCCACTAAGCTGGTCACCTTTGTCACAGGAGGAGATCAGGTCGTAGAATCATGGAATAGTTAGGGTTGGAAAGGACCTTAAAATCAGCTAGTTCCAACTGCCCTGCCAGGGGCAGGGACACCTCACACTAAGCCATGTCACCCAAGGCTCTGTCCAACCTGGCCTTGAACACTCATGGAATGAGCATTCACAACTTCCCTGAGACACCCATTTCAGTGCCTCACCACCCTTGAAGAACTTCCTCTTTATATGCAATTTAAACTTCCCCTGTTGCTTGTTCTAACCTGTTACCCCCTGTCCTATCACTACAGTCCCTAATGAAGAGTTTCTCCCCAGCAACCTTATAGCCTCCCTGTATCCTTATAGGCCCCCTAAGGTGGGGCTTGAGGACAGTCAAGCAAGATCTGCATTTCATAAACCCCTGCTGACTGGGCCTAAACACCTGTTTGTCTTGCATGTGCCATGTGATGGCACGCAAGAAGGTCTGGTCCTTAACCTTCCCCAGCACCAAGGTCAGGCTGACAGGTCTCTAGTTCCCTGGATCCTCCTTCTGACTCTTCTTGTAGATGGGTGCCACATTAGCTAACCTCCAGTCAACTGGGACCTTCCATTAGCCAGGTTTGCTGATAAATGAGCGAAAGGGGCTCAGTGAGCACTTCTGCCAGCTCCCTCTTGGGTGGATCCCATCTGGCCCCATAGCCTTGTGTGTGTTGAAGTGCTGTAGCAGGTCATTAACCATTTCCCCTTGGATTATGGGGGCTTCATTCTGCATCCTGCCCTCGTCTTCCCGCAAGACTGAGGCAACAGTGGCATTAAGTATCTCAGCCTTTTCCTCATCCCTTTTAACTACGTTTCCCCCTGCATTCAGTAAAGGATGGAGATTCTCCTCAGCCCATCTTTTGTTGCTCATGTACTTACAGAAACACTTTTTGTTGTCTTTTACAGCAGTAGCCAGATGAAGTTTTACTTGGGCTTTGGAGTTGCTAATTTTCTCCCTGCATAACCTCATGACAACTCCGTAGTCCTCCCAAGTGGCCTGCCCCTTCTTCCAAAGGTCATAAACTCGCCTTTTATTCCTGAGTTCCAGCCAAAGCTCTCTGTTCAGCCAGGCCCCTCTTCTTCCCTTACGGCTCATCTTTCAGCACAGGGGGACGGCCTGCTCCTGTGCCTTTGAGATTTCCCACTTGAAGAATGTCCAGCTTTCCTGGACTCATGTGCCCTTCAGGACTGTCTCCCAACGGACTCAGGCCAAAGTCTTCCCTCTGCTGACCCCCCTTCGTAATTCTCCAGTAATTGAACTCCCTTATAATTTCATGATTGCTATGCCGTCTAACCATCACATCACCCACAAGTCCTCTGTTCTCAACAACACGTCCAGTGGGGTGCCTTAACTAGTTGGCTCCCTCATGAGCTGTGTCAGGAGGTTATAAATCAATCATGGCAGCAAGATTCTGCTCTCATGGAGAAGGCAGATCAGTGAGGATATGTATAGTACTGCTAGTTCTTCACGTAACCATGCAGAGAAAAATCAAATATGTTTGTCACATATTAATTTCCGTGTGGCACTTAGAAGAGTATTTAATACTCAGGTGGTGTAAAGATCTGAGCAAAGGTCAGGCCATAATGTAATGAAAACCACCTTCCTGTATTACTACAGGAAAATACTGTCACTTAGGAGAGGCATCTCAGGAGTAACCACTCACACTTGTGTAACGTTGAACATAAGCTTCTCCCAACACAAGCAACTTGTTGGATGAATGTGGTGCAGACAGCTTTTATTCTGTTTATATACGTTTAGACAGCCACATGCTGTGTGTTTACAGGAAAGGTGGTCAGTAGGAGCAGGCAGCTACTGTTCATCCAGTCCGTGGTCTGCTCCTAGCTTAATTTGGAGATCCCAGAGGAAAGATAGCCCAGAACAGGCAGCAGGAGCATATTCCAGAGCACTTTTTCTCTGGTATTCCTGAAACCTAAATGGGCAGGCAAGAAACTGTTGCTCCCAAAGCAAACCCAGTGCTCTGGTAAAGCATCAGGCTATCAGGTACACATAAAAGCTTCGGTAAAGCAATGACTGGATTTTCACTGCATGACATATCTCTGAGGTGAGAGGCAGCTGTGATGCCCACCTGGTTAGGAGTGCATGGGAACTGTTTGGCTCAACTGGCAACAGCTACTTGATGACTCCAAGATGACTTGTACCTGCTGCTGCCCACAGCCTTGGAAGTGGTGGCTGCTGAGCGTGGGATCTGAAATACTTTCTAGCTAAAATCTATGCTGGTTTGGACTTTTTTTTTTCATGGTTGTGTAGATGTGTAAAGATGCAGATACATGTCTAGTTCTAGTTCTAGAGGCACGTGACCTTTTCTGGTCACTTGCGATTCTCAACAGGACATGATCCTGGCAAGATTCCCTAGGGGATTTTGGTGACGCTTACATTGCAGAGGTGAAGGGATTCAGCATAGCAAGCACCCAGAGGTACATGGCAGGCTGTACGTTCATTGCAGGCATTGCTGTTTCCATCTTACTGGAGTTTGCACCAAGCGCTATGGACACAGATGAGATGCACCCTCTGTTCTCAAATTCCACTTACCATTGTTATTCTAAGTGGCTCCCATAATCTCCAGGGATGCTGAGAGAAGCAAGTAGAAAGATGTGTTACAAGCAATACATCAGTGAGCTCCGGCTGCAGGTCAGTAATCATTTATTACCTGTCAAGTGCTTGTCAGTTTAAACAGTCATGCTGCCTGTCACCTCCAGCAGTGGCAGCTTTCACACCACAGATTACAGGGCCCATATAGGACCCCACTCGTAAACAACAGGGATGCTTTGGGGCTTGGGGATAGCTAAGGTAAAGACATGAAGAAATTAACTTTCTGAAACGGTCCGTTCTGTGTAGAATAAAACCAGTAACAACAAAATGCACACGCATGCCTGGCATCCAAAATGAGCAGGAAAGCTGCAACCCTGAAAGTCACTGACTAAGAAAAAGCACTGGCAGGGTAATTTCTTGAGGTAGACAAAATATAAATACAATATTAGACCAAACCTTAGATTTTAACTTCTGGAAAAGAGTACTGGACTACTGGGAAGTAGACAAGAGCTTGCAATCCAGACCTAGCCCGTTCCTCATGATGACAGAGAGACATTTTACCAGAGTCTGTAGTGAGAATAAGGAACACTTGTTTTAAACTGAAAGAGCACAGATTTAGACTGGATATATGGAAGACAATTTTTATGGTGGTGATGAGGTGCTGGCACAGATTGCCCAGAGAAGCTGTGGCTGCCCCATCCATGGCAGTGTTCAAGGCCAGGTTGGACAAGGTTTTGAGCAAGTCTAGTGGAAGGTGTCCCTGCGGGTGGTACGGGGGTGCACTAGATGGTCTTTCCAACTCAAACCATTCTGTTACTCTACAACTGCTACCAAAACCAGGTCTTCACTGACAGATGAAGGTGGAAACAGGCTTTCATAGGTTTTAAGTTTTGATCCACTAGTAGTATCAGAAAAATAAAGGAAAAGAAAGGCAGACTTCCTATAGTCTTGTGATGGTGGTGAGAGCAGCCTCTCTAAATTCAGTGTTTGGTGAGAGAACTGTGCCTGTTGGCTTCAGAAAAGAAAGCTTCAGTCACAGTCAGGGTGATCTCAGAGGAAAAACTATTACAGTAGGAAAGTGAGTAGCTGTTCTGCTCGGCTGCATTGATCTGTCCTGGGTAAGCTTCTCTATTGATCAGACCTATTTATTGGGGCTAGACATTGCTGAGCAGGTTGTACTTGGTTCTGCAGCCTTTAAACATTCGATCTGTGAGCTGAAGAAAGACAAAGCTTGGTTAATGACTGATGCTGAGTGCCCGGCAAGCAGAGCCAACATGCTCTGGGAGGTTTAGAAACAGGCACATCACAGCCAGTTTTAGCCAGCCATTCAAGGGGGCTTTCAGACAAGGTTGGCTCACATAGACTGCATGTGTCTAAAGCATAAAACTTGCTTGGGAATCAGCTGTACACCTTTCCTTCATCAGCCATGAATTTAAGGATGGAGTCTGTCTGATAACATGGTCAAGTGTCAGATCAGATGATCTGGCAAAGCCTCTCCTGTTTCTTTGCATGGTGGAAGAACTACGTAAAGGCTTCCTTGTGGAGATACTGCTGAGAGGTGATGAAGGGAGGTTTGGATGGCTTGAGATGTGACTGACAAGTTCACTGGGGGCTGCTAAGATGACTGCTGTCCCAACCACCTCTGCATTAAACACAGATGAGTCCAGCTTTA